ATGTGCCATGCACCCGGGGCAGGGGTTGCCCATGTGCCCGGGGCCGGCACCGCACATATGCTGCGTGCCTGGGGCAGGGGCCACCCCTGCGCCCAGGGTCGGCACCACGCGTGTGCTGCACGCCCAGGGCAGGGGCCGCCCATGCGCTCTGTGCCCAGGGCTTGCTCCGCGCATATGCCGTGTGCTGGGCCAGCCCAGATGATTCAGCGGGTGCACATAAATGCCCCGGTGGGTACCATGGTGCCTGCGGGCACCGCGTTGGGGACCACTGGCTTAGGTCATTAAGGAGAGGCTCAGGATGGGGCAGGGAGTGTGGGGGGTGCAGAAGTCAAAGCAATTGTTTGAGGATGTGGGGTGGTGCTGAACTCATAGATGGGGGTTGAGGATAGGCTCTGTGCTGGGTGTGTGGGGTATGCAGAAGTCAGTCTTGAGGGTGAGGAAGGGATCAGGTCAGGAGGGTAGAAGTATGGGGGCTTAGGAGTCAGAGTTGGAGTGGCTTGGTAGGGGCTAGGGAGTGCTGGAGTCAGGGCAGGGGAGTTAGGAGTGTGGGAGCTCAGGGCAGGAGGTTGGCCAACCCCTGGGGTGGCAGAGTCACACTACCTGAGCAGCAACTCCCTGGGACTGGCCAATGCAGGGTGTTGGGGGCCATGCTGGCCAGGTACCAGATCCCTGGGACTTGCAGGGGTGGCGCAGGCCATGCTTTCTGGGTGCCAGTTCTCTGGGGCTAACCATGGAAGTGGGGCAGGTGCCAGATCCCTGGGGCCAAGGAGGCCATGCTGCCTGACTGGTAACTCACCTGTATGGGAACCTTACTTGTGTACGGTGGCCACCAACATCCAGAGCACCTCCCCCAGCTGCCTACTCTTCTACCAGTGTGTCTGCCCCCCAGTGATCATTCTGTAGGATAACTGTGTCTGCTAGCAGACCCCTCCTTTTGCGTTTTATGAAAAACAATCTTATTCAAAGCAAATCCCATTGTCCTAGCACAACCAAATCCTTACCTTGCTTAGAAGGAAAAGAATAAAAGCTCTATTTTTAAGTGTAAACACACACCTTGATATCCTTAAGTTGATATCAGAAAGACAGACCAAAATATTAGTTTGGATAGGAGAGAGGTGAATGCCCTAAAGTTTGGTGGATAGCCACATTATGTACACAGGCATGGTTAAATGGTCACATCTACCTACCAAAAGTGAGAGTGCTCAACTGCCATAATCTACCACATGCCAGCCGGTGCTTCTAGCAAGGAAGAAACATGATTAGGTGCTATAATTAATTATTAACTATATTGTGTGAATCCACAAACCATGCTTATAGATAACCATGTCACTAAAAGGCTTTACGCTGGTTAAGTTATAGCTTACCCAATGCTTTAACATGTCACCAGTTTTGTATTACTCAAGTAGCAATACAAAAACTAGAGCATGACAAGTGGATTGCTCTCTAAGTTAAGTAGGTCAAACAACAGTTGCCAACTTCTGATAAACCAGATAAAGATGATGGTAAAAAGTTTCAGCACTACCTGTGTTTGATAAAATCTCACTTATGGAGAAACCCATATGAGAACCAATGATCATTCACATAATGAGACTTGTGAGGAAGCTTTTAATTGAGTCCATTGAGATGCCTCACTAAAACATGAAAGTTAACTGAAATGTGATTATTTTTTCAGCATTCACAATATTTTCTGATAGACGTATTAGTTAAAAGACATTTGTGTGATTGACAAAAACATGATTGCTTTAGTGAAGGTCTTTTTCTAATAAACACAAGATAAGCGGTGCTTAAAACTCCTTGCTGATAGCATCCACATATTTTTGGAAATGACAATGGGATGTGTTTTAATGATTATATTCTGAATATAAACAACAATCACCTCAGGTAGGTGAAAGTTATATAAGATAATATTCTAATGTTCGATTTCAGAATTATCACATCTAACTTCCCAGCAAATACCTTGTAGGTATTTTTGAATCATATGGCAAGGTGGCTCACATTGGAACTCTCTTGTTAGTGGTGATAATTGTCAACTGTTCACTAGTGGTAATCTTTCTATTCTAGCTGGCACGTACATTATACTGTCTATTGGTCCACTGATTGCTCGTTTCTGTTGGAAAACCAATAGACGGAGGAGAGACCAGCAGAAACTAAAAGAAACAAAAAGGCTATGTCTACACTGGCGCGATCTTGCACCAGAGCTATGCAAATGAGGCTAAGCGTGGAATATCGGTGAGCCTCATTTGCATATATAATGAGCCGCCATTTTTGTGGAAGAGGCTCTTGCGCAAGAAGAAGCTGTATACACTTCCCCTTCTTGCGTAAGAAAAACCCTCTTGCGCAATGCCACTACACTGATTATTTTCAGGAATAACGGCATTGCGCAAGAGGGTTTTTCTTGCGCAAGAAGGGGCCGTGTAGACAGCTCCTTCTTGCGCAAGAGCCTCTTCTGCAAAAATGGTGGCTCATTATGTATGCAAATGAGGCTCAGCAATATTCCATGCTTAGCCCCATTTGCATAGCTCTGGCACAAGATCGCGCAAGTGTAGACATAGCCAAAGAGTCCAGATGAAGGGTCGATAGATTCTACTGGAATTTCCACTGTGGTAGTTAAAGGGACAATGTTAATTTAAAAAATAAATTTTGGGCTGAAAATGTTGGTCCGACATTTTCAAAGTGTCTGATTATTTGGATTCCTTCATTCTTGTGTGCCCAATATGAGACACCTTAGCAGAGATTGATTTTAAGAGTGTATATACTCAGTACATTCTGAAATGAAACTTCTTTCCATCTTTGGTTAGCCACCCAAAATTGTTCCTCATTTTGAAAACCTATGCATATACATATTAGAGTTATGAATAGGGATGTTAAAATGTTTTTATTAAAGTAAATGTGTAACTGCTGAAAGGTTATGTGTGGGTGGAGGGGCAAGCTGCTCCCCAGGAGCCAGTGCGGGCAGGAAGCCAGCTTAAAAAAGCTTAAGAGCTGACTTCCCAAGAATACTGGCTCCTGCCTGCACCTCCTGTCCCTGGTGCTGCCGCCTCTGATACAGGCTCATCAGTTAACCATGTAAATGGTTACATTTTCACATCCCTAGTTACAAGTAACACCTACTACAGGTTTTCTACAGGTTTTGTACTCTGTTTGAAAACACCCTATATGTATTACTTTTTTTCCCTCCTATATAGTGAGTCATTTTCTCCCTCTATTAGTGACCTATACGAAAAACAAGGGAACTGAAAACCACTTAAATATCAATGCATCATACTAAAAGGATGATAATTAGAAAATGGAATTTTAAAAAGCCCCTTCCTTTAAAAATCAAGTTAAAATGTCTCAAGTACTATAAATAGTACATCTCAAGCACGTCGGGAAAAATAACCCCAACTATACGTACGGTATGATGGGGGCTAATTTGGCTACCACAAATCAGGAAAGAGATCTTGGAGTTATCGTGGACAGTTCTCTGAAAACTTCCACACAGTGTGCAGCGGCGATCAAAAAGGCAAATAGGATGCTAGGAATTATTAGGAAAGGGATAGAAAATAAGACCCAGAATATCTTGCTGCCCCTATATAAAACTATGGTACGCCCATATCTTGAATACTGTGTACAGATGTGGTCTCCTTACCTCAAAAAAGATATTTTGGCCTTGGAAAGGGTTCAGAAAAGGGCAACTAAAATGATTAGGGGTTTGGAATGGGTCCCATATAAGGAGAGGTTAAAGCGACTGGGACTTTTCAGTTTAGAAAAGAGGAGAGTGAGGGGGGATATGATAGAGGTCTATAAAATCATGAGTGGTGTGGAGAGGGCCGATAAAGAAAAGTTATTTATTAGTTCCCTAAATAGAAGAACTAGAGGACACCAAATGAAATTAATGGGGAGCAGGTTTAAAACTAATAAGCGAAAGTTCTTCACACAGCGTGTAGTCAAACTGTGGAACTCCTTGCCAGAGGAGGCTATGAAGGCTAGGACTATAACAGAGTTTAAAGAGAAGCTAGATAATTTCATGGAGGTTAGGTCCATAAAAGGCTATTAGCCAGGGGATAAAATGGTGTCCTTGGTCTCTGTTTGTCAGAGGCTGGACAGGGATGGCAGGAGACAAATCACTTGATCATTGTCTTCGGTCCACTCTCTCTGGGGCATCTGGTGTTGGCCATTGTCGGTAGACAGGATACTGGGCTAGATGGACCTTTGGTCTGACCCAGTACGGCCGTTCTTATGTTCTAAATACAAAAATCTACATTTGTGGAGAGATTGTTATACGCTCCGTAGATGCTCTCCGTACCTTCAGCATAATGTTTGTAATCCTAGGATTTATATTGTACCACATGCTTGGTTACAGTGAAATGTAGGGTTTGAAAAGCATTGCAATCCCTTGCTTTCACAAAATCAAAAATTCATGCACATTGACTTTCTGAAGTATAAGTGAATGTAAATGAAATAGTTATCAAACAGAAAACTACTGTCTTTACAATCTGGCTGTGTCTAGACTGCATCCCTTTTCCGTAAAAGAGATTCAAATTAGACATATTGCAATTGTAAATGAAGCGGGGATTTAAATCCCCCCCCCCCGCTTCATTAGCATAAAAATGACTGCCTCTTTTTTCCGGCTCGGAGCTTTGCCGGAAAAAAGTGCCAGTCTAGATGCGGATCTTTCAGAAAATAAAGCCTTTTCTGAAAGATCCCTTATCCCTCATTTTAAGACTTTATTTTCCGAAAGATCTGCGTCTAGACTAGCGCTTTTTTCCGGCAAAGCTCCGAGCCGGAAAAAAGAGGCAGCCCTTTTTATGCTAATGAAGCGGGGGGGGGGAATTTAAATCTCCGCTTCATTTGCAATTGCGATATGTCTAATTTGCATCCTTTTTACGGGGATGCAGTCTAGACACAGCCTCTGATTATGTAGCTTAACAACTATTAACCAAAAAAATATTTAATAGTTGCCAAACTTATCTTAAAACAGTTTTGCAATTTTCTTGCTTTTAGCATGCATCCAAATTGTGACCTGTATTTCCTATGTCTTAAACTACCTTCTTAGACCAAACTTCCTGCTGGAAATGATTAGTAACATTAACAACTCTTGCTAAGAGAGATCAGCACTATTCATCTGTGTGGAGCTACTGGAACTTTAATAGGTAAGGAATTGATTTGAAAACCATATTTTAAGTATATATTTTACATGTTGTAAATAATTATTTGAGCATGACTGCCAATGAGCTCTGCGCCGATGTGGAGTCCTGTTACAGGTGTAGGACTGCAGCTGCACAGAATTCATATATAAATGTATTACAATATGTTCCATATAACTGGGAGATATTTCCCAGGAAAACCACTTAATTTGGAAATCTCCCAGGGAGCTGATTTAAGATCTATGATACTTAATAGCCACAACTGTTTTAATGGAGTCTTTATGGGACAATGACTGCTGCTTAATAGAATCTTCCTGCCAGTGTTCTGACATAGATGACCTCAGCAATCTCACCAAACTTATCTATGGTAGGAAAATGTTTGCTAACACTAGTTTAGCCCCATTGATGGAACAATGTTAGGAGCACTAGTATAGACAGACATCTGGCTGCTCCCCTGATTTTCAGCACTCTGTGTATTACAGTGGGAAAAACCTGCTAATTTCCCCCATATGTTTGAGGAACAATGTTGTTCAAAAGTTTGAGAAACTGCTTGAGATGACTGAAAAGTGAAGGTTTTAGGGTTTTTTCCTAAACGTTTCAAAGAAAAATATAGTCATAAATAGCTTTAGCTTGCAGTCATTTCTGTGTTTGTCTGAGATTCATATTGTCATTTGATTAGTTAATCACCCATTTTCTAAGGTGTGAAAGTGTTTTCACACTTCTACCAAGACAGTGTTAACTATGAAACTATAGATAGCAATAGAGATTAATTATCTATTGCACAAGTCTCCACACCTTGTTCTTACCAGATAAAGAAAGAGAGAGTATATGTCTGTACCCAGGTGCGATTAAAAAACAAACAAAAAACTTTGGTCAAATGAGTTCAAAGGAGTATTTTCAAATGGCATCTCTTCAAAATATAAACTATGTTTGACACCTTTGATCTTGTTTCATAAAATATTTGATTTCCAGTTAAAAGCTGTGATTCTTGACTAAGCCTTCTTATGTGAAGTATATCCATTCATATGTGCTATGTAGAGGAGCAAAATGAGAATTAACATATATTTGGAATCAAAGAATAAAAATGGCATCTCTCCCTAAGGGAGGAAAAGCCCCTCTGAAGCCACTCTAAAATTGCTGATAGGGTTATTGCACTTTCCCTCTGAGATTTCACAGACTGGAGCTGGCAAGATGCCCTTTTCCAAAGAAGAAGCGTTAGTAGCTTAATCTTTTATGATGCCCGTATCACTAAACATTCACCCACCCAGAAGAGCATAACTTATGCTTGTAAATTACCCAACTACCTCTGGATTTTATAGGCCCACAAGTTTGTGGTCTTTACATGAAAAATGGTTGTTACCAGGAGAAGTCAGGTTTGAAGAGATAGGTCTCCCTCATCTGATTATCCTGTAGTTAAGAAAAGCTGGGTCACCAGATAGGAGAGCAGATGACTACAAGGAGCTGTTACATATCCAACCACACTGCAATAAGTTGTTTTTTGTGCTGAGCAGTGGGTTAAAATGTCTTGTGGTTATCTGAAGCTACTAACTTATTTGTCTGCCTGCTAATCCGAATTCCAAAGGCAGCCCCTGTAACAGCCAGACTTGTAGGCAGCACAAGGGGAAACAGCCTCCTGCTCATTTGGGGAGCTAGATCCAAGTAACAGTGAACCACCAGCAGATGTGATAAATGAGAGGCAGGAAATCAGTTTAAAAAAATACCCAGGGGAAATAAAGGATCTGCATCAACTGAGACATTGAGGGTTACAGAGAGGTCAGAGGCTTAAGATATGAAGAGTGCAGAACTACTTGGTACATTATATGGTATAGAGGAGAGATTAAGATAGGATGATGTGAATTAGGACATTTTGAGTGGGATCAAAACAAACATGGTGTGGGGTGGCCCTATAAGTTTATGTAGGGAGGCCATTTTGAATATGTTCTGAGAAGTATGCTTGCATAGTATGTATCGGAGCATAAACAATTTAAATGAAATTTATCGTGTAATAGTTCTTAAACCATAATCTGTGGTCTTCCAGCAGAATATCACAGAAAGTACATGGTGCTTAACCTCTATTTATTCCTTCCCCCACCCCCTGCCCAGCTATGCTTAGGGAGCAATCCGTCACTGCTTTTGGATTTCTTGAAATTTGCATTTCAATATTTACGTATTTACCCCAATACTAGAAGTCAGCATAGGGCATAGAGGAAGTAGGGATAAAATTAAGATTTTAAAAATATGGTAGTTCTTTAATGCAAGTGAGAGGAGGCCATTACTCTCCCTTCCCCCCTGCGTCCCAAATAAAACAAACCTAACCACCAACAATAATTTGATTTAATTTGCTTACAGAAGAGATTATTCTTCACATCATGGCGAAGACTCTTCCTTGTATAAGTAATTAGCATAATGATGGGTCAATGTCACTTTGTTTAGAGGTTCATTTTGGAAATGTGTCTGAACCAATGTTGGAGCTTCAAACCTTTAGGCTATATCTACCCTACCCCCATTTTGTGCCAAAAATATGGAAATGAGGCAAAACATGGAATATTGCTGTGCCTCGATTGCACAATTAATGAGGCTCCGTTTTTGCGTAAGAGGCTTTTGCGCAGAAAGGAGCCGTCTACACGACTCCTTTTTGTGCAAAAACCCCCTTCTTGCACAACAGCCGTTCTTCCTGAAAAAAAATGTGGAAGAACGGCTCTTGCACAAAAACGGAGCCTCATTAATTATGCAAATGTGGCATGGCGATATTCCACTCTTCACCTCGTTTGCATATTTTTTGCACAAAACAGAGGCAGTGTAGACATAGCCTTAGTGTTTCCCTGGTTTTTGCTCCTTGTGCAGTCCCCAGTCTTCTCCTGTCTTATGATATGCTTTCAGGTTGTAGACCATGTAGCCGTTCCCTTATTTTGTTCTTTCCCAGGTGATAAGACAACCTTGAAAGTGACCAGTTTTTGATAAACATTTGTAGGAAATATTTACAGAGAGCCTGTTTCTCTGGCTGATCCATATTTGCTCTGTGTGAGAGAATGGCAGATAGAGCCACCTAAATGAGAATCCACTGGCACCATCCATACTGTTTTTCCTTTCCATGGCACTCCCAAAAAAACTTATTTTGTAGTAGGGCACAGGAAATCCCAATGGAACAGTGGTCTGAGGTACACATCATGGTCTCCAACTCTTAACCCACACTTTCTGCAATGGAACTGTTCTAATTCTTCTGGGTTATTAATCTCTATAATCATAGAGGTCAGTGCAGGGTACAGTTTTGAATGACTCCTCCTTAAATGCAACAAACAAATAAAACACAACAAAGTTAATCAGCAATAAAATTAACACAGACTTTTTAAAAACCATAGATCCTGTTTTATAGCTTACCAGCTTTTTGAGGGTTATTTTCAATTTATTTTGTTCTATAATTAACATGGTGCCCTCATTGTTGCTGTCCCTTGATTTTAATAATTAATAATCTTTTCATTTGTAGATCTTTGAGTGCTTTCTAAAGAAAGTAAGCACTGTTTTCCTCATTTTACAAATGGGCAAACTAAGGAACGAAGAATTTATAGTGGGTGACTTGTCCTAGGTCACATAGCATGTCAGTGGCAGAGGCGGAAATCAAATCTACATGTTTTGTTTAATAGGATGCTGCAATAGTCACTAGGCAACACCATCACTCTGTGGTTAAGAGAAACTTGTGAGAAGGATTCAGGGGTTCCTGTGTATGAACATCATGGAGCTGAGTGCTTTGGACTGGCGCTCCATGTGCACCTGCATGCACAGGCTGTCGTGTGACTCCAGACTGAGAAGTCTGAGCAAGCAGCACACAGCCCCTCACAGCTCACCGCCTGCCCCCCGCGTGTGAATACGGAAGGTTGTGGAACTCACCTGAATTGGCTTCACCAGGATTGTCCAAGCCCTGGGAGACATCCTTGGAGAAAGGGACTGGCTCCAGGGTGAGGAACAGCTCCTGCTGGCGGGCATGGTGTCCTGGCTCGCCTGCTCCTCCTCCTCCTCCACAACTCAGCCCTTATGGAGGCGGATGCCAGGCATGTCCTGGCCAAAGTCGATGATGATGCGGGAATGGCAGCCAGTTGCTCATAGTACTGACAGGTGTGCTAAGCCACGCCAGAGCATCCACTTTCCTCCCTGGCCTTAATGTAGGACTGCCAGAGTTCTTTTATATTCATGTGGACCTGGTCAAGAGTCCACATGTGGCTCTTCTCGGCCAGGCTGGCAGCCATACAGTTGTAGACATTGGCGATCCTCCATATGGTGTAGAGATCCTGGAGGTTGGATTCCTACCCCCACACTTCAATCCAGGATCTCCACATCAGTCCAGGCTGGTGCTCTTTTTTATCTCTTATCAAAGGCAAAAGAGGGTGTTGCGGGAGTGCTGGCAGCTGTGAGGGTGCAGAGGGAGTGCTGGGGTCAGCCCCAGCTCCTATGAAAGATGCTGTGTGGCAAGGGGCTGGCAAAGCTCTTTTCGTGCCACAAGTCCTTTCCCTTCTGCCTGCAGCTTTAAACTCTACAGAAAAAGGGGAGCATTGGGGTTGTCAGGGGTGTGGCCAGAGCTGCCACAATTGCAGCTGTAGGACCTCTGGCAGCCAGTTATTTCGAGCAGCTGAGCATCCACAATAACACTATTTCGAAATAACAATTTCTTCATGAAAAGTAGGAGTTATTATTATGTAATAATCAGCCCATTATTTTGAAGTAATGGGCTTGGTAGTGTGGATACTCTTCTTATTATTTTGAAATAAAGAGTTATTTCAAAATAATTCCCTAGTGTAGATGAGGGCTTAGTGTGTAGAACTTCAGGGAGCTTTTTATCTAGCAAATCTTCACTATTGTCATCATCTGATCTTGCAATAGGTTAGTGATTGTAACATCTTATAATTCATCCTATGCACATCTCATTAGATTTCATATTTGAAAAAATAAATATATTGCTGTTTCCTTCATTCTTATAATCAAAAGGACAATCTGGTTTTGTTTCCCTAGTTTATTTATTATTTTGATTAGACATACTACATCTTATATGTTTCAAATGTAAATCTGACACCTAGATAGAAAACTGACAAACAGGATGTGAACAGAGGAAGACACTTTTCCTACCAGGGCTGATATGATCAAAACATGTTTATTTAAAAAGCCTTTCCTCCCACCTCTATTTTCTTTGGTAAGAGTGATGCAACAGTAACAGTGCTGAACACCTGTCTCCTCCACATTAACCAGTCTTGAAAGAAAGCTTCAGCTTCCCCCGCCCTCCCTAAAGGATGCCTGGGAGTTGGGAGGCTTAGTACTGGGGCAGTCCTGGACAGGGGAAGGTGGCACCCTCAGCCAGCCCTTGGTGAGTCTATTTTCTGTATAGTTGCGTGAGAAGCAAGCTCATTCCAGGCACATCCCATTTTCCCAGTACAAACCTTTATCTTACTTTGAGTTATGATAAGAGGAAGTTGAATTTGGCAGCCCTATTTCTAACTGCTTAGGAGTTCTTGAACAGACAAACAGTCAGACTCACAGACAGAAAATCTTTCTCAAATATGTAGTAGATTAATTAATTTGTTTTTTTATTTGTATTGTGGTATTGACTGCAGGAAGGGATCAAGGCCCCTTTCGGTATACACAAAAGAACATCTCTGCTCCAAAGATCTTACAGTTTAATCATGTAACAAGATACAGGAGAATTAAATGAGAAGGAAGGCAAGATGACACTTAAATTATCATATTTAGTTTAATACGGAGCAGACACCCGGTGTCTAGGTATTGTTATATCTTGTATATTTGTGTATATTTAAAGGTGTAATTGGCCCCTTCTCTTTCCCCCGACACACCACAAAATGGAACAGAACATACAACCTGAAGTTTTACAATTCAAAAGTAATGTGTATTGGAAAGGCAATTGAGCATTTGTCCTTTTTTGTTCTTTATGTATAATTAAGGGTTTGCTTTTCTTACATTTTTTACATGAGAAACGAAACCTATGAGAAAGACCAAAAATCTTTTCCCTTCTTAATTTTCAGGCTATTCGGAAGCCTCTGACTACAGGTTGAACCTATCTAGTCCAGCACCCTTGGGATCTGATCAGTGCTGAACCAGAGAATTTGCCAAACAACGGGAGGTTAGTATTGTCTTAAATTAGAGTTTAATAATAGCACAGAACACTGAGAGCTAGGACTAGTGGCTGTAAACAAATTTTTGGGACCACAGGAAACTTGGCCACACCCTTGATAAATGGATATCTCACTAAGTTAAATCATTCAGGACCATAGATGTTGGTGGAACAGAGAGTGCTGACCTAAAGAGGGTCAACCTGTATTTAAAGGTCTTTGTTTCTTTTTTAGTTAATTACGATTACTAATTGTTATTCTAGAGAAAGGAAAGCTCAATACCTTTACCCCTTCAGTGAAGATATTAGAGGTCCTAATAACATCTTCAAGCTCTTTCACAAGTTCTCTAGTAAAATGAGAGAAAACCAAACTTGGTATTTCTTATAGTTCAAAGATTAAAAACAAGCTGGGGAGGAAACAAAAAAAATTACAGCAAACAAAATAATCCATCCTCCTCTTTATGTTCATCCTTTGTTTGCAACATAAAGAAGTAAAGCTCAATTTTTAAAAACTCCTTCTCAATTTAACTTTAAGGGAAGTCTGTATAGTACTAAATCCACTGCACATGATAAATCAGTTTTTTCTTAGTACCGGCTTCTACAACAAAAACATGTAAATCTCTTCAGTATCTTAATTTGTATTCAGCTAAGTATCAAAAGGACTGATTACAATGTGATGAATCAATTCCCTTGATGAGACCTAAGCTGCAGAATAGGGAAGCTGATTCCTGAATTTCATCAGTGTCAGATATGTAACATCAGATTATGGGCAACATCTAGTTTTTAACCCCCTACGTTTTCTAAAAGTGACATTTGACTTTGCAACCAAGTAACTCCCTTTCACTTGATGAGGAGTCATCCAACTCATCACTGCTTTGAAACTTTAGGAATTCTGTTTTTAGAATACTGTCTCGTGTACATGGCAAAAAACTACAGGTTTAGGAATTGGAAACTAGTTGTGGGACATTGGTGTCCCAAGTCATAGAAACCATCACACTTCTAAATATTTTAAAGATGGTTGGGGTTTCTTTGGGATACCCAAATGCTGTTTCACCATCTTACATAGCCCTTATTTTATGCCCAGGTTTTAACTTTTTTATTCTGCAAATATTATAATACAGTTTTGTAAAGTTTCTTGCCACTATATATCTTTTTTCATCAAACCTTCTCACATTGTCATTAGTGTTTCTCCCATTCATTTCATGCCTCACAGTCTGACCCTTTTTGTCCTTGCTTTTCATCTTATGTCATATTCAAAGGAAATGTAAAGCTACACATTAGTAAGTCAGTGATATTCAGACTCAATGCTTTATTTTTTACTTTATTACATTTTCTCTTCCATTTATTAAATTTTTCCTGCTATCACTCCACCTATCCACCCTCATCATATTGATTACAGTAATGTACACCTGCATTGATTTACCAGTGTACAATTTACACTACAATTTATGTCTCCTCTGAATTTGCCCTATTTATTGGTCTCCTGTCCCATCCTTTATAGTAGGGATGAGAAATCTCCAGCATGCCAGTTGCATGCAGTTCACCAGGGTTAGCTGCTGGCAGGCTGCCAGATGCTTTATTTACTTGAGTGCCTGCAGGCATTGCCACTTGCAGCTCCTAATGGCTGCAGTTCACCATTCCCAGCCAATGGGATCTGCGGGAAGCAGTTTGGGCCAGGTCAGCGCTTCCTGCAGCGCCAGTTGGCTAGGAAAAGTGAACTGTGGCCACTGGGAGCTGCATTGCTGTTCCTGTGGATGCTCAGGAACCAGACCATCTTGCAACCCGCCAGTGGCTATCACTGACAAAATGCATGTGGCCCGAAGGCTGGAGGTTTCCCACCCTTGCTTTATAGGCTGGTACATGGCATAAGATTTTAAACAAAGAAACAGATTTCCAAAAGTGCACATTCACAACCCCCTGATCCTCATGGGAATATTAAGGATGCATGCATGTAAATTAGGTTGCATCAGTGCATTGAAGTTTCCTCGTGTGTACTTCTTCTCACTTGCTTTTGAAAATCTGATGCAGTGCAGGGCCAAAAATGAGGTTTTTTTAAAGGGGAAAATAAATAGTTAAAAATAATAAAATGATAGCTGTTGAATATGAAAGGTGAAATAACATTTCTTTATTGACTTTTTCCAAACCAATAATGATTTTATAAAAAAACAAATAGCCTAGTAGCACCTTAAAGACTAACAAAACATGTAGATGGTATCGTGAGCTTTCGTGGGCACAGCCCACTTCTTCAGATGACAGGCATGTGTCATGATACCATACACATGTTTTGTTAGTCTTTACGGTGCTACTAGACTATTTGGGTTTTTTTAAGTTTTTCCTGTTACAGACTAACTTGGCTACCCCTCTGAAGCTTTTGAATGATTATATAGTCTATCATGTTTCCCCTTAGTCATCTCTTTTCTGGTATTTTTAGTCTCTCCACGTAAGGTAACTTTTCTATACCGCTAATCATTTTCGTTGTCTTTCCAATTCCACAAAAGAAGAAACCGAAAAGTTGTATATCAGAGGTCCCCAAACTGTATAGTGAAGTATAAACATTGCTCAAAGAAAAGTGCAACTCTAATCTCTCCTATATAACAGGCCATCTACTCTAGCTAGTGCTAGTAATTTAAAGGCTTTGATATATATTTTTTACAGCAACGGTTGAAAAGAACTGAACATTTTGGAAACAAATAGAAGATACTCTGGGACTGAAGTTCAGTTTAGTCCAACTTGGGAAGCTCTGTTGGCTTTCTTATGAGAGATTCTTGGTTGTTATTTTAAAATTACTGGAACTGTTATTATTGGCTTTGGAAAGTATCTACAAAGATAGGACAGATCTAAGTAGTGAAGCTAGTGGACTACTTTTGTTACTAAGTTCAGAGAAGACTATTGCCACTCCAGAACCTTCCTACCTTCAGCAGGTCCCTTATTCTTCCTTCCTAATGCTGGAGCCAGCTCCATCCCTGGGGCAACTTGGGTTTGGCTGCCGAGCTGCTGCCTGAGTGGCCATTCTCTTGTAACCACTTGGGTTATTAAACAATGTCATCTATGCATCTGCTACAACAGTAGATCTTTATCCAGCGATAGAAGCTACCCTCAGCTCAATTGGAGATATCCATTGAAAACATACTGGAAGAAGCAAAGACTTCAGTCCAGAAGTTGACTAATGAAGATATTTATATTGAATCATTATATGAAGAGGATAAGAATTGGTTTTTAACACAGGTAAAGTATACAGACTTGATTCTTAATAATCTACAATAATGATTTCTGGATTCTACCTCCATGTTGCTTTTACAGATGCCTGTCTTATAAAACACCTGGGGCTCGTCTACACTGACCCCTTTTCCGGAAGGGGCATGCTAATTTTTCAGATCGTAATAGGGAAATCCGCGGGGGATTTAAATATCCCCCGCGGCATTTAAATAAAAATGTCCGCCGCTTTTTTCCGGCTTTTAGAAAAGCCGGAAAAGAGCGTCTACACTGGCCCCGATCCGGCCCGATCCTCCGGAAAAAAGCCCTTTTCCGGAGGATCTCTTATTCCTACTTAAAAATGTCCGCCGCTTTTTTCCAGCTTTTAGAAAAGCCAGAAAAGAGCGTCTACTACTTTGAAGTAGGAATAAGAGATCCTCCGGAAAAGGGCTTTTTTCCGGAGGATCGGGCCGGATCGGGGCCAGTGTAGACGCTCTTTTCCGGCTTTTCTAAAAGCCGGAAAAAAGCGGCGGACATTTTTATATAAATGCCGCGGAGGATATTTAAATCCCCCGCGGATTTCCCTATTACGATCTGAAAAATTAGCATGCCCCTTTCGGAAAAGGGGCCAATGTAGACGTAGCCCTAGAGTTGAGTGGAGTGAGGGACTACCAGTAATGGGGCTTCCATATGATCAGGACAGAATAGAGAATTCACAGTGTTGAATATCATATGATAAAAGAATGAAGATTTAACTTCAACTTCTTTTTTATCATCACTAGTGGTTTGACTCAATTGTTGTGCTATGTTTCCTACGATGAAAGAAATCAGAATTCATTTGTTGCTATTCACAGTTACTAAAGCTACAGTTGAGCATTCTTTTCCTCATTGAATGGAATTTTATTTTCTAAAAGAAGTTGCCTTCCACCTGATCATGAGCATATCATGAAGGACTGGAAGTAACCACACAAGAAGACCCCAAAGAGTTGTGCAATACTATAAGAAGAAACCAAGAAGAATGTAGATGGAGTGCTTCATAAAGGCTTGAGTAGCCAACTTTAATTTCTGTAATGATTTTGAAACATGAGTTAAATCTAATAAAACTGTTCTGGAACATTTTTCCGGTTTTACTATGGTGCCATACAGCCCACCTTCACCCTCACAGTCTCAGCCCTCATTCCCGTACCCCCTCTCATATATTCAAGCACACCAATTTCAATTCCTGGGAAAACACTGTCCCCTGGCTGAAGACAGCTCCCAGCAAGCATCAGTGCAAAAGAAAAGGTGGCAAACCTCATCTATTGACATCTCAACCTGGGACAATTCTTCAAATTTTTCACCTAAAAAGAATGGCTCAAGTGTGGGAAGCGAAGACCGATGCAAATAATTCATTTAGCTTCTCAACAATGGCCTTGTCATTCTTAAGTGCTTCTTTAGCACCTTTATCATCCAGGGGACACACAGATTGTTTGGCAGGCTTCCTGCTTCTGATGTAGTTACAACATGTTTTGCTATTCATTTTGGAATGGCTTTGCTCTACAAAGTTATTGCTCCTTTATATTTTTCCTGTATATTTTTGTCAGAAGGTGTAGTACGTCAGCGTGGCCTCCCACTGACATGAACTATTACAGAAGGAATTAACTTCCAGTTTCTAAATGCTGCCTTTTTGCTCATAACCACTTTATTTACGTGTTGTTTTAGCTATGCTAGCACTGTTTTGGTCCCTTTAGTATGTTTTCTTAAAAAAACAAGGATTCCAGTGGCTCTTTAAAGACTAACAATTTTACTATGGCATAGCTTTCGTGAATTGCAACTCATTTCATCAAATGCATAAACTGAAAGAAAAAGAAATAGTAGGAATACATAGATGAGAATGCAACATCAGAGCTAAGTTAATCAGGGTGGATGTGGATAAGAAGATGAGAATACCTAAAGTAGAAAAATTAGTTATTGTAATGAGAGAGCAGTTCCCAGTCCCTTTTCAGACCCCTTCAGGTGGTGTCGATTTTATATATGAATTCCAGCTCAGCAGTTTTACATTACAGCCTGTTTTTGAAGGGGTTTTTTTGTTTGTGTTTTTAAAGGTTACTTTGTTTTGTTTTTATTTTTGTTTTTTGTTTGTTTGTTTGTTTCAGGTTGGCAATTGTCAATCTGTAACTATGTGTCCAGGGAGGTTTCTGTAGTTCTTTCCATTCTGCACCATTCTTCTGGTATTGTAATGATTAGTCAAACCCACATAAGACTTTTGAGCCTCTGGGAGAGATTCTTCATGCATTTCATGTGAAAGCAGGTCACTGCTCTAATTGATTTCCATGGGCCTATTACACATTTTCTGTTTGCCCAGTTTTTTTGCTCTTTTCTTATGTTACTATTGATAATGAATTGAGGTTAAAGTGTCCCTATATAACAAGAGCACTAACTTATGTAATTTTCCCTATGCTTGTTTGAGTATGAAGTACCAGAGAGTTCAGAAATGCCCTGTGTCATAATGTTGATATCTTAACATTAATTCCAGGGTGTGAAGGTGTTTTGTTGTTTGTTTTATTTAGTATTTCTAATAGAAGCCCTACAAAGAAGATATTTCCTGTGCTATTTTGGTAAGAAACTGATTAGTTGGACTTCTGGAATTTTAAAATTGAGGTCAATGTTAGACAAAAAAATAGGAAGCAAAATATTCTTATAGGAAACCCCATCAAACAGGAACAAAAAATGTTCTTTCAATATACACAAAACTCTATAAATGTGAAACAAGAATACACAATAATAAGTTATTTTGGAGTAACCATCCAGTAATATGAAAATCTTTAAAGAATTCCCTGCTAGCTGCATGGACACTTTTTAAAGACACCATAATAGAGGCCCACTTAAATGTATACTCCAAATTAAAAAACATAGTAAGAGACCTAAAAAAGGGCCACCGTGGCTTAACTATAATGTAAAAGAAGCAGTGAGAGATAAAAAAGCATCTTTTAAAAACTGGAAGTCCAATGCTAGTGAGGTAAATAGAAAGGAATATAAAAACTGCCAAATTAAGTGTAAAAATGTAATACGAAAAGCCAAAAAAGGTTTTGAGGAACAGCTAGCCAAAAACTCAAAAAGTAATAGCAAAATGTTTTTAAGTACATTAGAAGCAGGAAGCCTGCTAAAAAAACAGTGGGGCCCCTGGACGATCGAGGTACAAAAGGAGTAATCAAGGACGATAAAGCCATTGCGGAGCGACTAAATGATTTCTTTGCTTCAGTCTTCATGGCTGAGGATGTTAGGGAGATTCCCCAACCTGCACCGTCCTTTGTGGGTGATGAATCTGAGGAACTGTCCTGGATTGAAGTGTCATTAGAGGAGGTTTTAGAACAAATTGAAAAACTTAACAGTAACAAATCACTGGGACTCAACTCAAATGTGAAATTGTGGAACTATTAATGTGGTTGGTAACCTATTCTTTAAATCAGCTTCTGTACCCAAGTACTAGAAGACAGCTAACGTAATGCCAATATTTAAAAAGAGCTCTAGAGGTGACCCTGGCAATTACAGACTGGTAAGTCTAATGCCAGTACCAGGCAAATTAGTTGAAACAATAGTAAAGAATAAAATTGTCAGACATGTAGAAGAACATAATTTGTTGAGTAAAAGACAACATGGTTTTTGTAAAGGGAAATCATGTCTTACTAATATATTAGAGTTCTTTGAAGGGGCTAAAAAACATGTGGACAAGGGGGATCCAGTAGTTATCGTATACAGGCAGTCCCCGGGTTACGTACAAGATAGGGACTGTAGGTTTGTTCTTAAGTTGAATCTGTATGTAAGTCGGAACTGGCGTCGAGATTCAGCTGCTGCTGAAACTGACCAGCGGCTGACTAC